ATCACTAAATGTTGGTGTTGTGGTTAGGTATTTAGAGAAAGGGTTAAATAAAAATTGGATCCCATTTTTAATTACAATATGAGGATATCCATTTCTAATATGCTTAAACTAATTTAAAACTTACGTTACAACATGTGAACATGTGACCCAAGTTCAAACAATTCCCATTTATAACCAACTATGTACATACTATTATTTGATAATTAAGGTTTTTTAAGAAAGGGTCAAAAATGTAGTAATCATATTTAAATGTTCAGGATCTGTCCACGATTAGCGTTAAACATGTTACACATTAATTAATCATCGATCGTATCTCTCTCTTCAAGTTAGTATGAGTAATATATTAACCCTTTAGCAACATCAAATAAACAAAAGAGGTGAACATACAAAAATGAATTAAAGTAGAAAAGGAGTTACGAGGAATCATCATGAGGAACCACTACCCGTTGATTATTAACTCACAAGTTTTTAAATCACAACACAATAAACCATACTCTTATCCATTCAAGCACACTATGAGAAATTCATAGGGATTAACTAATTCATAGTGATTTTTCGATTTAATCTTACAGAAATAAACCAATAAATTAACTAATTCAAAGTGACTTAGCGATTGAATGACTTATTTTAATCATGTTTGACCACTATGAATGTTTTAAGTGTCAAAATATCCGATTTTCTACATATTATGGAGATTAATATTTTTCGATTAGATTTATAGACGATTGTTAGAGTTTTTTTTTTTCTGTAAGATTAAATCGAAAAATCATGTTTTCGTAAGAAAGAAGTTCTAAAAAATTGCATGCTTTCATAAACTTAGCCCAAAATAAATATATCATCAAACCAGATTATAGTTCTTCGTAGATTTCGAGCGGGTTAATACACCCTTCTATGTCGCTTAGAAGGATTCGATAAGCAAATGGTTTGGACCCTACCCGACCCTAAAATCAGAGTTAGTAAATCCCAAACCAAGCATATTATTAAAAGTACCAATAACATAAACTCCAAATTCGGTTAAGAAGGGTAAAATATAGCCGATCGGTTCTGGAGGTAGCTCCTATTTCTGACGCCAATAAAAAGTTGTTCCTTAGGAAGTTAGGAATGTATTAGAGATGAAGTTTCGTCAAACGTAAGTAGCATTAGAATATTACACTATAATTTATAAACATACTAATATTTCAAAGTTTTTATCTTATTAAATGTAGATAAAGTAACATAAAAATATTACATTTTAGATCGCCCCCATGAAATTTGGATTTTGAAAAGAGAAGAGAAATTAGAAAACATAACAACGCAACATCTGCCATAACAACGAAATAAACACTGAAAGAAAAATATAATCAAAACTTAGAAAACTGGAGCTTAGATGGACATCTTCCTTTAGGCAAAACGGGACATTCGATGAACTCAGTTCCTGATGTATCAACACAAATATAGATTTGATATAGTTGGTTATTACGCTCCGGATCTTTGTTACACTCGATTCCCGGTGTAAATCCAATCGCATCTTTTATCGCGTTGCTAATCTTTTTTAGATCATAGAATCCGTCATCTGGTTTGATTCCTACAATTTTTATTAAAATATGTCATTGACTTGAGTTTATAATACAAGAATTAAGTACATTTATGTAATGACTTATTAGTGTCGTACCAGAGTTTGTGAGGATTTGGAGGATATTGGCTCTATCTCTGAGTTTAAGAGCATTCTCAAAGTAGTCATGTTGGTCCATTACGGATTCGGAACATGTACCATGTTTTTCCCACTCATGTTCCCAGAAATTGAACCCTTCGTTGCTCGGACACGATAGTGTTGGCCACTTCTTTTTCAAACTACTTACCAGATCCGTTATCTATACAAAAATATCAAACGATCATTGTTCTAACTTCTAAGAAACGAAAAAAGGGAATATTACACATTAATCCTATCTATGTACCTGAGATTTATCAAATTCACTGTCGGGATCGCAATTTGATGGATATGAACCATCTTTGTAGTTAGGCCAAAGACCGTGGATGCCAAAATCAGCAGCAGGTTTACCGGATGTTGGATAGCAACAGCTTTTCTTTGTATCGCAATAGGCTCCTGGCCACTGCATATATGTAAACAAACAAATGTTATCTGGCTATGATCATGCATAATTTTATGTTGTTAAAAACACGTTAAGATATGTTTCACACACTTTATAAAAATGTTTGTAAAAAAACAAAAAAAATTGGATTAATGAAAAAGAGGTGAGTCTAGGACCTGAAGAACGAAGTAGAAAAAATCAAAGTTTTCTTGGTCTTGGGGACGGGAAATGAAAAGACCTTGAAACATTAGAAGCTTGAGGATAAACCAACCCTTTGCTCCCATTTTGTTTTCTCTCTTCGTCTCTGCAATGCATCATTAAGACATTTCAGCTTCAAATTTATAGACATTTCTCTTGAAATACTATTTTTAATTAGTATATTATCATCATCTAGTTATTAGTGTCGTCGTGATTAATTAAAAGATTCGTATATTCTCTTAAACATGAATCCAAGATTCGTGAAGATAAAACAGTTTAAATTTTGATTATAGTATAAATTTACGAGTACAACCATATTTTTACTTATTCTTGTTGTTTCAAATGTCTTTTTTTAATGAATGCATTTTAGTTTTCATAACCAATACAAAAGTTTCGATTTTAAAAAAGCCAACAAATAACGTCCAACTTTTTTTTTTTTTAAATGTGTCTCCTTCTTTATGCACTTGTCACCCCATTTTATAATGGGTTAATTTGTTGAATACTAAAAAAAAAATTAAATTGTTTGGTCACATAAGCTTTGTTTAGTCTATTTATTTAGTCAATAGGTTTAAATATAAATTGTTTAGACTAACCCAAAATTCCATTTTTTATTCCAAAATGGAGTTGTGTTTCACTCTAACTCTATTTTACTTTAAAATAAACAATGGAGTGAAAAACAAAAAAAATAGAGTAATAAATAGAATTACTCCATATTTGGAGTAAACCTATTTTTTTACTCTGTTTAATGGAGTAAACCTATTTTTTACTCTGTTTTGGAAATAGAGATGGAGTGGATTGGAACAAATTTGATTACAAACTCTATTTTAAAATAAAAAATGGAGTGGAGTTGGGGATACATTTAATCAGATAGTTTTTTTTTGTGTTCCGATTCAACCATTTTTGGGAATCGATCAATTATGCCTTGTCATAGAATTAACACTATCCCAGTCCAAAACCATAGATATGTACGAGTTCCGGTCCCTTTATATATATAATTTTTTTATGTCAATAATTTTTTTTTTAAATATTAAATAGATACAATACATTTGCCACGGGGTGTATTTACATTGGAAAACCATCAAAAACAAATTTTTGCTAAACAGAAAACCATCAAAATTATTCGTTAGACATTCCCATTAATTTATAGCGAATTGAAACTACTAATTTTATTGTATTGGGCTCAACTTTCGAGATCAGCCGGACGGTTGATCCGGAATGGAGAATGTTCAAAGAAGCAACCGAATTTTGTTTTCACCTCGGTATCCATTAATTATCCAAAGATCATTAAATATATGAATTAAATAGAAAAAAAAGTTTTGAAACGTAAAATATTTTCCAGGGATATCCATTTCTAATATGCTTAACTAATTAAAAAAATTGGGAAGAAAATTTCTTAAACGTACGTTACGACATGTGATAATGTGACCCAAGTTCAAAGAATTCCCATTTATAACCAACTAATGTACATAGTAACATTTAAGTATATTCCTTAATTAATGCTTTGTAAGAAAGGGTCAAATGTAGTAATCATAGTTAAATGTTAAGGATCTGTCCACGATTAGCGTTAAATATGTTACACCATTAGTCTTCGATCTTATCTCTTTCAGTTAGGAATATATTAGTATTAATCCTTTAACAAAAAAACAAGCAACATCAAAGAATCAAAGAGCTGAACATAGAAATCCTTTATATATTAAAAGAGGAGATACTAGATGAAAATCCTATGTGTCATGCAAAGAAGATTTTAAAGAATTCTTAAGAAAAACTATTAAAAATTCTTAATGACATGAACTAAATTTATATCATATATACAATATATAATCATCAAACGAATATTGAAATAACGAATTTGTGATAATTAATATAGAAGATTTTATGTGAAAATATTTTATTATATTTTCAATAAGACTAACTTCTAATTTTTTTTACCCACGTCAAACGCATGATTAAAATATTCATAAACAAAAAATTAATTATTTTTTAAATATACGGGAGAAAGTAAAAAAGAACAAAAATCAAATGATATATATCTCTCATATTTTATCTTACAAAAATTAATTTACATGACACTTAGTAAATGTATATAATTTTTGAAAAATGCCACTTTCCAAATTAATCAAAAATACTATCAGTTAGATTTTTTTCCAAAAGTGTCACTAATCCTCTATATATTATTGAGTAGATATTTAGTGAAAAATTCATATGTGTGATTCAATAAGGTTTTTAAGGAACATGTCATTTAAATTAACCAATAAAAATATTTCAATTAAAACTAGCTATATGCCATGGTAAAAATTTATATGTTTTTATTAATTTTATAACGTAAATCCATTAATACATGTTCTACAGATTTAAGTTTAGTAAATCTAATCTTTAGACTTACGATATATTTTCGAAATTGATATATTAAGAAGATTTTCATTATTAAATTTGTAACAATATTATTTATT